GGAAGGACATGTGACGACTCCGGGCTGGACTCCGCTTCGTCCACGGTGAAAGCCGATCCGGCGATCCAAAGTGCGAAGTTGATGTATTTCCTCAGCGACCAGCACAGATCAGCTCTAGACATGACGAAGCGGATATCGTCCTCTTTTGGAAGACCAAACAAAGTAGTTTCGCTTTCACAACGAAGCACACAGCGCCTTCACGACACGGCTGCAGCATCAACAATACTACAGCGAGAATAAAAGTTACGCCTTCTTTCTTTGCGTGAACATTTGGGCAGCGTTATGCAAATCTTCCCACATAGTGAGGTAGCTATGTGGGGGCATGTTAGAACGAGCCATTTTGGGTAGGTGTGGCTGACTCTGAACTTTTATAAAGAATATCTCTTTGGATTTGAGACTTTAGTCTTTGCAACTTTACAGATCTTCTTTATGGACCAAGAGCTTGTAACACTCCAAAGAGAAAGGAAAAATTGAAATCGCATCATATGACCCCTTTAACATTTAAAATGATATATCCAACAAATATCACTAAAGTAAAAAAATCTCACAATAAAAATCGTATGTGGTATCAATATGTCATGCATCCCTAATTTTAATATCACAATAATTCAGTTACTATACATTATCAATGAAACCAACACCCTTTAACTTGAATGTCTCAGGTGGGTCTCTTAAGTGGCATCTGTCTGATAGTGGGAACAATGATCGGCTCGGGGATCTTCATTTCTCCCAAAGCAGTTCTGGAGGGGACTGGAGCAGTGGGTCCATGTCTGTGTGTGTGGGCGGCATGTGGAGTGCTGGCTACGATGGGTCAGTATACACACAACAGACACATTATCTATAAGGTTGCACAAAAGCCTTGATGATAAGCCCTCATAACTAAGATAAATGGGTGAGATTAAGCATTGTCACCTCATGTATCGTGTCATATTTGTTTTGGCTGTTTGATAATCTCTCCATATGACGTAACAATAAGATTCACTGTTTCTTAAAGCAAAATACAATCTTTTTCTAATCCAGTATAATGTCATTTATGTCCAAAGGTTGCTGTTTTATTAATTGGTGCTATATTTGATTGCTAACACTTTACGATAAGGTTCCGTTCATTAACAATAGTAAGTGCATTGGATATCAGAAACAACGAACAGTATTTTTACAGCATGTATTTAGGTTCATTTTCAAGTACACTGCTGTTCAATGTTAATTCATTTTTGTTCATAATACATGCTAATTAATTTATGACAGTTGAAATTTTAAGTAGAATTTGAAGTAATATTTTTAAAAATTAACATTAAACAAGATTGTTATTTTATTATGCCAGATGCATTAAATAATGTTAGCGTACTGAACCTTTTTTGCTCCATCCTTGCAGCTGTTGTTTTACTGCATTATGTGTTCCAAATATCTAAATCTAAATCTTTATTTTATCCTGCACTTTCTGCTGAGATTATAGTTGGGCAAAGTCAAGGAGGTTAATCAGATATGTTCACTCACTCAGAAACCCTCAGTCGGACGTTTTAAGTCACATAATGTTCGGGAAAATTCACAAGACACCGAAATCCTCTTTAGTTTAATACTGACTTGTACTAAACTACTAGACCTTTTGGTAACGGACTCATTGACCTCAGCTTGAACACTGAGAAACTAAGAGGTTTGCATGTGCATGCGTGTGCAGGGGCCCTCTGCTATGCTGAACTAGGCACAATGATCATGAAGTCTGGTGGAGAGTATCCGTACCTGATGGAGGGTTTTGGGCCATTGCTGGGATACCTATATTCCTGGACCACGATCATCATGTTAAAGCCTTCGTCATTTGCCATCATCGCCCTGAGTTGTGCCGAATACGCCTCCACATCGTTTTACCCAGAGTGCACTCCTCCTCAAGTGGTCACCAAGTGCCTGGCTGCAGCTTGTATCTGTATGTACAGGTCTAGGCTCTTTTTATATTCAAATGACGTTATACTGGACTCAGCTGTTGTCTGTTCTCTCCATCAGTAATAATTACAATCATCAACTGTCTGAGTGTAAAGCTGGCCTACAGAGTGCAGAACTTTTTCACAGTAGCCAAACTCTTGATTATTGTCATCATCGTGGTTTCAGGCATCGTTCTGCTGGCTCAAGGTACCTCTTTTACCCAATCTGATATCTCAATGATCTGGTATCTATTCCAACTTTGTGACTCATATCTTATTTGATATGAATTTTTATTGACACCTGACTTACGTGACACTAAATAGAACATTAGTATTTTAGTATTCAATTAAACGGACTGAGATCAAATACATTTTGATACAGATAAAGAAATATTTTTTTTATTATGTTGTGAAAGATGACTCATCATATACTATGGCCAGAGATTACTGTAGATACGTTTAGATAAGATGACCTCTGTAAATGTTCAATGGAAGATCAATAAAATTTATCTTTTTATTGTTATAATTGTTTTTTAGGCAATACCCAGAATCTCAAAGACTCATTTGCAGGCGCAACAACATCATTTGGAGCAATTGGCCTTGCATTTTACAACGGACTATGGGCTTATGATGGATGGTAAATTATTGATGAGCTCATATAATGTTGCACATGTGGCATATGAGGCTAATGTTAAGCAGCAGTGTTCATCTTTTTGTAACGTTTAATACACATACGGTTTCTTCCGAGTCAACATTCTAGTGTGCTTTCAGCCCTGGGAATCATTCACACAATCTAATGATTTCTCTGTTAAAGCAACATCTGATAAGAGTGGATTTTCAGCACATGTGAGGAAATGGGAAATGGGAAAATGGAATTGAATGCTTTTCGAAACTTCAATGCAGTACTTTTTTTCAGTTGCCTGGACTTTCACCAGATCATTCTCAATCCAGGGGCTTTATTGTTCTAAAAGAGAAGCATGCACAAGTCTAGAAGTCAGCTTCAGTCAGCTATGGCAATTCATTTAAAAGTCCTTTTGTCTTTTTCATAGGAATCAGCTTAACTTCATAACAGAAGAGCTGAAAAGTCCATACAGGTCAGAGTAAAATTAAACTTGACATTTTAATTCTATTTTTCTAAATCATATGAAAACTGTATACATGTGCATGTAAGTTTCCCCCATTAAATATAGTATGTGCTTCAGTGTTAGCCATGAAGTCTTATTGTGTTGTTCTCTCTTTTTTGAACAGAAACCTTCCCCTGGCAATAATTATTGGGATTCCCCTGGTAACTGTGTGCTATATATTTGTCAACATTGCATATTTCAGTGTCATGACCCCTACTGAACTTCTGCAGTCTCCTGCCGTTGCTGTGGTGAGTGTGCATTATAGTCATAGTCACAGGCTGTGCCTGAGCAGGTATTTCTTTTGAATAAGTAATTACTCTACAGTGGCGTAACTTAGTAATGACGGGCCCCAGTGCAGGCTATTAGAACGGGCCCCCTGGGGTGCACGGTTATGAAGCACATACAAACACACAGCGCTCGTGTCTAGAAGGGAACCCATATATGCTAATTTGTGCCTAACCTACTTAATTTAGACCAACTAAAATCAGTATCTTATCAGTTTCTTATATTAAATTGAACATCGAAACTCAAATTGAAACTCTTTGCGTGCGTCTCTCTCTAACACACACGGCTGTGCGGCTGGCCGCAGCAGCCAGAAGTAGGCCTACCAAATTAATCGTGTTGAATTTTACAGTCATCAGCATGTGTTACCTATTGTATTTGCAAAGCACAGAAGGCAAGGTTATCAGAAGCATTGAGTGTTTCAGCGCTGTGGTACTGAAATTGTTTACTTTTAGCAGAGTAACCCAGTAATCGCGGCAACCGCATTCCTCTCCGAAAACCAAGAGACTAGATAAGAAAGAGGTCTAAAAATGATCAACACCATGTCCCTCAGATATTCATATAACAAAATATATACAAATTAATACCTAAATAGGGACGTAGTAGTATACTTAAAGTATGATGTAAAGTTCACTTAAAGAAAACTTGCGAGTATACTTGCTGTACAAAACTATTAAACTAGTAGTTTACTGAGACTATACTTCAAGGTGTACTAAAAATGCTACAAGTATTTAATTAGTAAACTATCAGTATACCTATAAGTTCACTTTTAGTATAGTTGCAGTACAAACTAAACATTTTGATGTACACTAGTTGTGTACTTAAAAGTATACTTTTATATACTAGAAGTATTGAGCACACATAAAAGTAGACCCTTTACATTTCCGAATGTATTACTCTTACCTTTATGAGCAAAAATTAAGGCATATTTTAAGATGTTTCCACTATCAAGCATTTAAACTAACATTGTGATATGCTTAAACTGTTTTATATCTATAGATTTTATTTTAGGCAAGTCGTGATGAGTTGAGAAGACTAAATTGATCAAACTATGATCAGCTCACTGTCTGCCGCTGGCGTTACTTAAAAAAAAAACGTACATTTAACGAACAAAAAATGCTCCAAACGTTTTTCTAAATTAACTTTATTTAAAATGAAACGCAATATAATCACTTTAACATTACATACACTCCCTTACCAAAAAGTAGTATACTTCAAGTTTATTTTATTAAGTATACTTAAGTAAAGTTCAAGTATATTTT